TAGTGTGTTCACCTCACATCAGTGAGGGTATGGGACACTGGTTAGTGTGTTCACCTCACATCAGTGAGGGTATGGGACACTGGTTAGTGTGTTCACCTCACATCAGTGAGGGTATGGGACACTGGTTAGTGTGTTCACCTCACATCAGTGAGGGTATGGGACACTGGTTAGTGTGTTCACCTCACATCATGGCATGGTACACTGGTTAGTGTGTTCACCTCACATGGCATGGTACACTGGTTAGTGTGTTCACCTCACGTTATAGCATGGTTCACTGGTTAGTGTGTTCACCTCACATGACATGGTACACTGGTTAGTGTGTTCACCTCAAATCTAATTTAACCAAATAATTTAACTCATCCATTTTCACATATTTTGTGTATGTAAGTTAGAAAGTTAATTGCTCAGAAAATTTACCTTTTGTTTTAAATGTCATGCTACATTCTTTTTCTAAACACTTGAATGCATTCTCCTTTGGATGGTACTTCTGTATATGGTTTTCTAATCCTGCTTGAGTCAGTCTCTTGCCACAGTGATCACACTTGTATGTAGGTTTCTTTTGAAGACCTGTAATGTATCAATTCAATTATTATGTATGAATTTTCACAAGAGACAGACCATTCAATTCAACTTGTCACAGCACCCTCTAAAGTAGCATTGTTGTGATACCTTTGTTTTTATTGGATTCAAGTGTCACAACACCCTCAAATGAGACTGTTTTTAATATTGTTTCTAGATTAATAAACTATTCCATTAAATAATGCACCTCAAACAAGCTTTCTAGCTGTGTCATGTATGTGTGTACAAAACTGTATTGTTCTATGCCAGACAACATTTTCTAGGGAGATAGGGTTGCAATTGATAGGAGCTAAATGGTACTGTACATGTAAAGATATTAAATGATTGATTCAATATTTCATTTATTTTTGCACATCAGGTGGATATAATGTATCAATACATTTGAATTTATACACAATGCTGGGCTACATTTCAAGATATATACCTGGTAATTGTCTATTTCCATAAATGAACAAATATACAGTGACCCCTTGCTAAGTCGTGCCTCAGTAAGTTGCGGTTTCAGCTAAGTCGTGGGTAGTTGGATGGCTCCAAAAAATTATTTTGTGTTTTGACAGCAGTTTTGAAGTAGAAAAACTAATGTTTCGTCGCATCGGGTATTTAATTGACCGTTAAAGGGCTGGAGGAGAAAACTTAACATCTACTGGTCATCAATTACTGAGATACAAAGGGTTACAGTGGCCTGACTTGAAGTGTGGTCATGGGTATGAAGTCGCGACTTTATTTACTTCTCGGCCGTTCCCCTTTGATAAAGCTCTAAAAAACTCGCTGTAATAGAACGCTGTGATGTTGTACCATAAAGAAAACGTAATATAAATAACCCATGTGATTTTTATCTATTTTCACTGCATAAACCCACTTTACAAGAGACCCCTCGGTAAGTCGCGACCCTCGGTAAGTCGCGACCCTCGATAAGTCACAGATTTTGTTTGGATCCTGACACCCGCAACTTAGCAAGGAGCCACTGTATATGAGCAATTTATTTAAAATTTTTTTGTCTCTAGCCTTTTTACCATCATTTATCTCGCCCAAATTTGTCTGCATTTTTTCTAATATCCTTCAATATTTCTGAAAATAAACCCTAATTTTGGAGCAAACAGAAGAAATTTGAGTCAATTTTCAGTTTTTACTAAAACAAATTGACTATTTTTATCCCAGTCTTCTGAGGGAAATTGCAGAGTATAAATGAAATTATTTTGTGAATTTGTGATGGATGAAACAAGCAGCCTCTCGGCTGAGATGGCTCCGCGGTTAGCAAGTCACATTTCAATTAAAGAACTGAAGATATCATTAGAAAATGAACAATATATATAGTATGTATAGCAATCGGACTTGCTGTTTTCAACAAGAATTCAAAAATATCACTTTTTACCAAAAATTACAAAAATATTCACTAAAATTAGAGAATTTAAGATATCATCACGAAATAAACAAATCTGAGAAAGGTCCACATGTAGTACCTATATATGTAATATCAAAGCAATTGGACGTGAGGTTTTTAACAAGAAGTCAAAAATATCACTTTGTACCAAAAATTACAAAAATATTCACCAAAATTAGAGAATTTAAGATATCATCACGAAATGAACAAATCTGAGAAAGGTCCACATGTAGTATATATATATATGTAATATCAAAGCAATTGGACTTGTGGTTTTTAACAAGAAGTCAAAAATATCACTTTTTACCAAAATATTCACCAAAATTAAAGAATTGAAGATATCATCACGAAATGAACAAATCTGAGAGAGGTCTACCCAAGGTACATATACACTAAGTATCAAAGCATTCAGGCTTGTAGTTTTCAAGAAGAAGTCGAAAAAATAAAACATTGACACGGACGCCGACGGACGCCGAACGCCGACGGACAATCACTCATATGATAAGCTCCGCTCGACAAAGTCGACAGCGGAGCTAAAAAGAGAACTGGTGGTGGAAAGGTTACGAGTTTATGGTTAGAAAATTGTATTAGAATGAATCGCCATATGCACCCTGGCAAACTATTAGCCTGCTGGGAAGCTGTCAATGAAAGTAGTGGGCATTACTTGAACTTCAGTGATCAGACAAACACAAGAGTTCAAAGCAAAAACTTCTAAATTTGCATTTGACAGATTGAAATAGTGAAGAAAATATGTGACCATTTTGTAGGTATTAAGGTGGGCATCCATCATGGTCTCTGTGAATTTTGAGCCTTCCCTATATACCATTCATGCAAGTATTTGAATGAGTATTGGTGAAATAAATCCAGAATTGTCTTGTGACTAAATATATTGTACAATTGATAGACTAATTTAGAATGGAAACAAATAAATACAGTACCTTCTCCAAACATTCTTTCATGTTTTTCCAGCTGTTGCATGGATCGAAACTCTTTGAGGCAATTATCACAGCGAAACTTTTCAGCCTGTAGTTGATCTAGCCTTCTAATATCCTGATGAGTCTTGATATGTTCTTCATAGTGAGTTATGTAGCGAAATGCCTCCATACAGTACTTGCATACAAAAATTGCAATGTTAGTAGAAGTATGTTTATCTCTATGTGCTTCCAACCAAGAGATAGTAGGGAATGGTCTCTCACAGTATTCACATATATACTTCAGTGTCTCATCAATCACAGGTGGGATACAGTCGTCTAGGAATTTCTTGGGTTTCTCATGTGTACTGTTGTGATCTTTCAATTCTTCTAATGTAAAAAAGTTTATTTCACATGGCACACACATATATACATGTTCTTTGTGTTTGCTTTTCACATGTAAGTTGAGTTCACCAAGAGTACAGAATTTACTATCACAATCAGCTGAACCACATCCAAATTCTTTATCTGCAATATGTCTTTTCATATGCTCAACTAAGCCTTGTTTCTTAAGAAACCTTCTATCACATTCATCACATTCAAAATCATAATCATTTCGCATACTTCGTCTCAATCTTCTCTTACGCCTACCCCTTCTTGGTGCTCTTCGTGGAGGTGGCGAGTCAGATTCTTCCTCTTCAGATGCTTCCTCATCCACAGCGTCAGCATCTTCTTTTTCACCATCATCTGGTTCTACGCCCTCAATATTCTCTTTAAGTTTGCCACGGCCACAATCACATTCATGCCTATGTCTCATAAAGGCCTGAGATGAAACAAACACTTTTCCACACAGTGTACAGCGATGCGATCTCTTTCCAGATATCTGTAAACTAGATGTATCCAACTTTGCTCTTGGTTTGTATTTGCGTCTTTTTGCTGGGGGAGCTGAAACTTCATCACCACCAATGTCACCCCCTCCAATATCTGCTGTATTGTTGTTAGATATCGTTTCTGGTGCAAGAGTTTTATTATCACCGATATTCTCAGTGATAAGTACCCTCCCCATTAGGGCATACTCCATACCAGTTGGTATATCTTTGGTAACCTGCAGTTTAATGAATTTAATAGGATAAACAGTTTTTAGAAATTTTTGTTTTGTTGTTTTTTTTTTGTATTATTCAATAGTATATGTACAACAGGATATATGTTTACCATTTATTAAATAGTACTTTCAAATATGTGAATTAATGGTTGATCAGCACTTCACCAGTACACAAAATTACAAAACAATTATGTGTGAAGCACAGCTTTCATACTGATGTGTGCAATAACAAGAAGGAAAACCTTTTTTGGGGCCTAAGCTCCACTAAATGTGCTGTTTGGAGAGTAACCTGATGTCAACAACAAAGTGAAAAATTAACATGGATATGATATACAAGTAACTATGGTATACTCTTACTATATTTGCTCTATTACAAGTACAGAGGTACATGTAAAAAAACACAAACTGCATTAATTTTTACTGCCTATTAACATTCTCTTTTTTACTTACCTTTCCTTTTATTACTTTTAGCCCCTAAATTTGTGTATACTGTATGAATGTGGAACATGACTGTATGGCAACTCACCTCTAAGAAAAAATGATCACCTGCATCTAGCAGTCTCATGTTCTGTTCTTCATCAGTATATATAGGTTTGATGAATCTCATCCATGCTGGTAAACTTGGATCTATACATTCAATGGCATAGCCTGGTTCACCAAAACCAGTTGACAGCTGCGTTACAAACAAATGTAAGTTAAAACAAAATCTGAACACTGCAGTTGCCCATCACTCTCATTCTAAAGTCAATTTTAAACTTGTATTAAACCACCAGACAGAAAATAGACACATTCAAATCATTTCTTTCAATTGATGGGAAATATACAAAACTAGATACACTTTGAGTCTTTCTGTGTTTTGTTTTCATTTATCCAACTACATGTACCTTAATAATGCACTCATATGTCAATCACACTTATTTTACTTTGCAATTACGTTTGCAGTTATTCATTATTAACTTTATTACATTTGAATGTAATAATTTGCCATATTCTACTGACAATACACACATGTATAACCAAAAACAGTTGTCTATGTCAATGACATTTTATACACCCATTTACATCATTTTGACAAAACAGAGATATTCTGACACTAGAGGGTGCTAAGCAATAGAAGGGGATATTGTAGGTAATCTTGCTGTTATGCTCTCCCTTCAAAAAATCATATTGAACTCTCAGTGAAGTAAAATTAGGCATTTCTTTTCTGGGCCCATATGTTACAAAGAGTGTAGATGTGTTACCTTCCATAGCCCATGTGTTACAGGCTCTTCGGCTGATAGTCCTCTCAATCTACCTGTGTATGGGCCATAGCGGAAGCCGCATGCAATATTCTGTTTAGCACATACAATTATGTATGCATTATCTAGATATAATAACAAATAATATTGCATTAGTTAGGATAATGCTACTAGCAGTGTATGCAATTTTAAATGGCCACACCTATAATTCATAAATTGTTAATGACTTCATTTGTATTCATAATCATATGCAAATTATAAATGCAACAGTCATAATACAGTGTAGCACATTTCTTTCAGTTGAATATTCATTTCAGAAATATAGATCTTATTACATGTACATATGGAGTGAATATGGCTCAATTTAAGAGTTTTTTGCTTTCGATTGCTATAATAAACCAAACATGCTTTTGCGTTGCATAACGCCAAACACAACTCATGCAGTTACATAATCTACAAATTACACTATTGGTAAATACACAAACCTTGTATCGATAGACACTATTATTGCAAACAACACAACTACTAAATATTTTGCGACTGCATACCACATTATATACTTTTTTAAATTGCTACGACATTGAACTGTGAATGTATAGACCTGCATTTGTTTTAGTGCAAACTGAGGTTCTGTCCTGCCTCTAGTCATACATATCGTTGTAAATTCGTGCACACACTTGCTGTGCACTACACATATAATTAAGTGCAAAGTAAACAACTCATCCATGACCAAGTCCATTGATATTATTTTGATAACATTATTTTCCCCACACCTTGGAATTATTGACAGACACAACACTAAAACCAAGTTTTTTACAATTTCTATTTGTTGTTGCATGCAGCTTACTGGGCATCCAAGCACACTAGTGCAGCGACACAAGACTAAATCAAGTCTACTGCCAAATCAACGTACCAGTATGCATTGCGGCTTTCGAAAAAAGGCGAAAACAATATTTTCACAAGCTTACTTCATTATTATTATTATTTTTGCCTAGAAATACTACTAGCTTCAAAACAGGTGACTAAATGAGCTGGGAGTATTTTATTTTCTATTTAGTAGCCGCCAAAAACCATAATTGGAGCAGGTTTAAAAACACAGGTGTTACTAGTAGTCAGTACGATTTTTGCGAGTTACCAAATTGAATTCAATTGTCACTTATAAAACACATTGTTTTTGTAATAATAATAACTTTATTGACATGGTATCCCAATTGGGATTTTCATCAAGTACAAAAATAAGACATAAAATAAATAAAGAAAATACAATCTAAATTAAGTAAAATAAATAAATGCAATTAAATACATTTGAATAAGATAAATTACGCAGTTGGTTTTGGGCATAGGGCAGCTGATTTTTGAAACAAATCAAAGAAATTACATAATCTACTGGTAGTGTCTACCAGTGTTGAGAGGCTGCTGGTTATTTCTGTTTTATGATGTTTTCCCTCATAATAAAACAGTTATGAATGTATTTGCTTAGTTCCTTATGTACTGTTTCATCTTTGGCTTTTAACAAGTGTGTAGTGTTTTCTTGTTGATTGTATTAATTATCATTTACTTATTTAAAGAGCAAGTTAGTTAGAGCATGGAGCTAGAAAGGGAAGGAGAGAGAACACTGTTTAAGCCTGTTTTAAGCTGTTGACATAGCTTTGTTTTAAGCAGAATTGTCCATAAAAACGAATATGCAGAAGAAATAACAAACAATACATGTACGTGCACGAGTTTTCTTCGAAGTGAGGTTAGAGGTCATTCAGTGACCTTTGGCACCGGAAACAACACAGTCCTGGATACATTCTCAGCGAAGTCATGACCGTGTACTTGTTGTGTATGCGAAAAAGAACTCAATACGAGTACTCAAAGCTAAATATTTTTCACCTTACGATTCCTCTAAACGATTTTAAAGTTTGTATGGGTTGCTTGAAAACTGGCAGTTATAGTGAGATATTTCTTTTATTGTGCGCCGATGTGTGTTCGTGAAAATCATGTTTGAAACCATGATAGCGTTACCATTTTTTACGTTTTCATTGTTTGTCTAAACGATGTCAAACTTGGTTAAAAGATTTCGTTTTTACATGGAGTGTACTTCACAATTGAATATTTCATTTAACAGTAATTATATATTTTATGACAGCTACTTTACTTTGTTTTTGAAGTATAACATGAAAATAAAAATTCCTATTTCATATAGCAATTTGATGTAGTTGATATAGTCTATGAACTCACTGTAAAGGGCTAATTATTCACTGGGTTTTAATTTTGCCTATGTACGTCCATGGTTGAAGTTTATGACAGAATGCCATTCTTGTCTTCCTGTTGTCATGGAAATGCTGTTGTTTGGACTTTTGTTGTAATGAATGCAAATGTGAGTATTCACGTTAGGTAATCCACCGACAAACCCGAAGCATTGAACATTTGTAACAATATCATAAAATCCCATTTTTCTAGCTCCATGATATGGCCGATGAAGATCAAGCAGAATAAAAATAAAATAACTGCTTACAGAGCTTTAGATATGCATTTAACATCGAACATACAAAACTACGCCCAAATGAAGCTAAGATGCATTTTACAGG